TTTTAGAGTGTTTAGCTTAAAATTACCTCTTCTACTTTTCCAGAGTCCCTTTACCTTGTCCACAATAATTTAAAAGTACTGATATTTCTACAGGCCTTGCATTCCACTGCTGGCTTGAAAACCCCACATTTATTCTTGGAAATAACATCGAGCAGTTTAATCCACTTACTTACTTAACAGACTTTAAAAACTGTAACAGACGAGGGGTTTTTTCTTCAGAGCAGAAAAAAAAGTGACTTGCTATCATAATGCTGCCTCTATTCTCTGTAATTTACATCAGCATTTCTTTATTAGCATTATTATATTATTTAAACAAGTACATCCATTATGCTTTCACCCCTTAGTATGAAGCTGAATAATTTTTCTATCAGTTCAGCTTCCACTTGTTCTCTGAAAAAGAGGTGGTCTGGTCTTTCTAACTTGTTTGTCCATTACATCATTCCAGAACCTCCAGTGCAGACATTTCAGCCACTCAGAATATTTCATCAAGTGTGTAATTCCTTTAATGCCTTTTATTTTTCTTGACTTGCTCAGAACTTACCAGGCTCACTCACTACTCCCTCTGGCCTTCAGAAGTATTTAAACAAATGCAATAAATTGAGCTATTTGCTGCTTGCTGCTCTTTTATTTCTGTTATGCTGCAAATTAACATTAAAGCCCCTAGCCCTAAATCACATAACTCAGGTATTTTTATGCACTATATGCTATTTTGGAAAAACCTGATTTCAGTTTTTCAGGGAGGCACCGGTTTACATCCATCAACCTCTTGCCATAAAAGTTACATTTGCAACTTAAGAACTTTTTTAGTTGCCTTTAAAGGTACACTTTTGTGCTCTCAAAGATAGAAATTAAGCCCCCCCAAGAACTTGTGAAATACTTCAAAGAAAAAATTCACAACCCTGTTGAGGGACAAACAGAAAGATTTTAAAGCAAGCCTGCAGAAACAGGACCATAAAATAAAATGTACCATTCTATTAACGTTAGCTTATTCAACAGAAGGGGAGGAAATAAAAAAAATTTAAAAATAGTAAAGAGCACTGTACAGAAACACTGAAGCTGAAATAAGACTATCGAATAACCTGCTTAAATAAACATTTACACTTAGAAGTTTCTATAAAGAACCTTTCAGAAACTGCCACAACTGACTGTAGGACTTTTTAGTTCTCGTGGTGACTTGAGCCAGTGCTGCTGCCATGGGCTGCTGCTGCCTTTCCCTTTCCAAATGGACTAAAGTGGGACTTCTCCAGGAGCCAGCACTCAGCTGAATACACAGGACCACATAAGCACACCAGCTCTGAAGTCATCAGCACAGAGAACACAACCTCAGCAAAAATCAGCACATGGCACACTGACAGCAAGAGGTGAACGTCCCGGTCCAGTGTCAGAGTGAGATGGGATGTACAAAGACTCTGCTTTGAAGCTGGGGCTCAGTGGGGGATGCCAAGGGCCCAAAACAGTCACATCTCTCAGGAGTGAAGCATCACTGAATCTGTGTGAAAGACTGTGACAAGAAAATCCACGATGAGAAAAATCTCCACCTCGTGTGTCATCTTAAGTTATGGTGCCTCAAGCTACGATTCCTCTCCCCTGTGCCCATGGGTATGTCTAAAGGGTAATTAAAAGGTGCAACCACAGCTCAAGTAGAAACTTCAAAACTCGTTTTGAATTAGTTAGTTCACATGTCAATGCAGGTGGTAACACTGAAAGGAGAACACAATGAAGTTACAATAAAAACAAGGCCAAATACACAAAAGATCAGCTTGATACAACCTATTAATTTACACAGTGCTTCATTAACAGCTGGAGGGAATTCTACTCTAACTACTAACTGCCAGAGGTATATACAAAATAGCTTTAGAATAAAGAGCTTCTGAGGATAAAGTTGCAATCTCATTTCCTGAGAGCTCATTGACATATCCCAATTTTGTTAAGTCTTTCATTAACATCAAACAGTCAGAGCAGAAAATACGCCAGCAAACAAAAAAAAATCCAGAGGAAGAGCAGCTTGAATAAAGGATAAAGGGACCATTAAACACCACCATTCAGCACCATTTGGGAATTCTGCAGAAACAGCAGCCCGGTATTTTCACAGCTCATGACGTATCTTTCCAGCCCAGAGTTTCATTTTCATGAAACGCCCTCAAGAGGCAAAGCTTAAAATCATTGTTACAGGGACCGCGCTACGGGCAACACAGATTCAGAGACGATGAATGGGACAAGTTTCTGTGGCATACAAAGTCTCTGGAACAGGACAACTGGAAACGGCCACCCAGCGCTAAACTTGCATCGTATAAAGGCAGCCAAACAAACAGCATTTCAGGTGAGATAATGCGAGGCTACGGGGTGATATTTGTAGGGAGATGGCAGAGCTTTTTTAAATCAACTAACACCACAAGTGGAAAAAAAAAAAAAAAGCTTGGAAGATGCAGGAGGAAGTTTCTCTTCCCCTCCATAGAATCAATCAGGTTGGAAAAGACCTCTCAGATCACCGAGCCCAACTGTGACCCAACACCACCGTGCCAAACAGACCACGGCACTGAGTGCCACATCCAGCCCTTCCTCAAACACCTCCAGGGACGGTGACTCCGCCGTCTCCTTGGGCAGCCCATCCCAACGCTTAACCACGCTTCTCCTGAAGAGATTCCTCCTGGTGTCCAAGCTAAACCTCCCTGGCTCAGCTTAGGGAGATGTTCCTTCGTCCAGCTGCTGCCCTGCCTCTGCTCGCAGCCCGTCCCGCGG